AATTTAAAATTAAATATTGCTGCACATGGGTAAATGTCAACAACCGGCATGGTGAGCAAATGACAGACAGTTGGCTAAAACACTCAGCCTGAAAGATCAGCTTTCAAAAAGAGTCTGTTTGTTCTTTAAAGGCAACTGTCAACTTCACTGAGGCAGCATGACGAAGGCTACAAATGGCACTGGAAATTGCATTTGAAAAACAACCTTTTAGAATAACAGGTTTCTTTCTAAAGAAGCTGGAGGAAACTAAGGCCACAATCAACCCAGAGCTGCATTCACAAATCATCCATGCATGCATTTGAGTTTTCTCAAGAGCTTCTCTCTCAGAATGTGCCTCTGTGGTGCCCTAAACTGACTTCTCTTTGAAGCGTTTCCTGGGTGCAAAAAGTAGTTTTGGTGGAGTGGTGTGAGAATTCAAGGGAAAACAGACCATGTACACTAGCAACACTATCTCTTTAATGAACTTACTTTCTGATTTGTTAGATGACGATGCATCAGAGCAAGTGATATCTCACACCTTCCAGTGAACATCCCTATCATATTCCTTATCACAGAAAGTCTGATCTTTGGGGAATGGGGGACAGGTTTGTAGTACAAGACCTGCTGACCAACTATAATCTTGCAACTTGAATTTTTTTGTACCTGATTGAATCCAACCCCAAAACACTGACAGTGTACAGGCAGATTAGATGATGTTGCATCAAAATAAGTGCTGTGAACTTTTCTGTCACTTTCCTTATTGCAAAAAGCCTTTTTTGCCGGGGAGTGGGGAGTGAGAGACAGGTTTCTTGGTTTGTTTGTTTGTCTGTTGATCTAAAAATTTATATTCTGATTTTCACCATACATGTCTCAAAATGGCTTACAATAAAATGTACAAAATTTAAAATTTAAAACGAATTAAAGCTGCCAACTTTTACATCTCAAGCATTTAAAATCTCAAGTTGTTGTTGTTGTTGTTGTTGTTGTACAAGACCTCTCAATCAACTATAATTGCCCAACCTGAATTTGCTGGTATATGACTGAATCCCACCTGCAACTAGTGGCAGGCTGGAAGTGCCCAAAGTAATAAACTATTTGTAATGTTGGTGATAGATCCATTCCTTGCTCCAAGACAATATTTCCACATGTTCAAGTTAAGTCTGTGGCAAATTCATTCCTTGAAATGTTTGTGGCAGATCTTGATTCAAGCCAATATTTCAGAATGCCCCAATTAGTCAGAGGTCTGTCCATCCCAGGACTTAAACTAGACAGGGAAGGGCAGAGGGCATTCTAGAAAGGAGAAGAGATTTTGTAATCTTGCTGCTTTGTGCAAGAATAGAATGAGCCCATGAAATTCTAACTTTACCAAGACTACTCTGCATCCTGATTCTTATTCCTAAGAGTCCCATAGTCTTGGCCATCTAAAAAAAAGCATATAGGAAGCAAAAATAAAATAACCAGATAATGAGGATTTTTCCATCTCTGCTTCCATTTGGGGCTCAGAAATCCCATGGAGGCTGGAAACAGACTTATCAAACAAATAAGCAAAAAGTTGACATCTAGGAAAGTTGTATACGAATGTAATTATATATATTTTTAGCCTATGAGCACAAAACTTGGGGCAAATTGCTGCATTAACAGCTCCAGTCACATTATTTTCTATTCCTATGTATGCCACTTCTGCGAATGATTAAAACTGCCAAGAACAATGGCTGAACCAGCCTTAGCCTAGAAACGCTTGGTATTGCAGAGGGTTGAATGAGATTCCTTGCAACTCTGTACAAAAGGTTGTTTGGCAAACAAGTATATTAGAAAACCTCTTGAGTTTCCTAGGTAGCCTCTTACAATTTCAAGCCCCCAAGGCCCGACTGATATAACAAAGTAGCCCACAATAATTTAAATACCTTGAAGCAGTGAGCAGGAAAGGAGGAAATTGCATATAATATTCTGTGAATCCATATTAGAACTCCCAGCTATGCCCTTTGAGTTACTGAGGCTTTTTAAAAGAATCAAATTGCCGGGCCTATTATTATCTTTATTAGTTTGTAAAGCTGCAGCTTGACATTCTGTGTAATTGTAGTTAAAATTGTAACCATTCACCAAACCTTGAGTCCTAACAGCTTGTGTCTAGTGCCCTAAATTGCCTGTGCTACACTTTTATTTTACATTTGTTCTATTTCTGCATCTATTTCTATATTCCTATATCTGTGGATTAATGAGAATAGTTTATCCCTCCCTGCTGCAGGGAATGAAAAAGAATGACCAAGGAGGCGCTTAGGCAAAAATAGAATCACAACAATGTATGTGCAACCTGCAGGCATTTCTGCAATACAGCTGTTTCCCATATTTTAATAAACTGATGTTATTTAGTTGGCTCTTAAAGTTCCCAGCTATGTGATCCATACTGCCATCCATAAACTCTTGTGGCTTCACAGATCTCATCTTAAATAGGAAAATACCTTATAAGAAACAAAATTAATTATACTTCGTTGAGGTAAGAATTCACTCTCTAAGTAGTTAAATAAATGCCACAACTAAGAACCACTTTGGAGATTACATGAATAGATGTCCATTAAGATGTATTTAAGATGCATCCAAAAATGTAAAGCATGAACTCAACTCATGTGTGTCATAAAAGTGTTTCTTCATGGATCTATAACTGTCTGACTAGGAACAGGGATTATGTGTGAAAAGGTAGCTTCATTACTAATAAGAAGAACTTTAGCATTTGGTTATGTTGGTGACTCTGCAATACCCACTGTTAGTTTTGAAGCTAACCAAGGTTATGGGAGAGATTTTGGACAGGGGAGACCCAAATTAGATCAACTGGGGAGACTAGCATTTCTCTGTCATAATAAATCACAGGAACCATATGTTTTGATGTAATGAAGAATAAGTAATAGATCATAGAATCATCTGTCATTGGCTTCCAAATGGGAAGGTGAAAAGCAGTATGTGAAAACTGACAAAGTTAAATTTCATGATACTGTCAAAGGAAGTCTCAGGTCTAAGGCTTTTGGTGAGTCTCCAAAATAGGGGTGGATCTACAGTCGTACCTCGGAAGTCAAACGGAATCCATTCTGGAAGTCCATTCGACTTCCAAAATGTTCAGAAACCAAGGCGCGGCTTCCAATTGGCTGCAGGAAGCTCCCACGTCGGATGTTCAGGTTCCAAAGAACGTTCGCAAACCGGAACACTCACTTCCGGGTTTGTGGCGTTTGGGAGCCAAAATGTTCAACTCACAAGGTATGACTGTACTATGAAACTAATGACGCTTAAGGTTAGGGCTCCCAATTCTAGAGGGGCCCCCAAAGTAATGTTAGTCCACATTGCTTTAAAAAATAATGGGTCTAGTTGATGCAATTTGAGTTCTACTACTTGGTCCCAGCTCCTGCCAACCTAGCAGTTCCAAAGCATGCCAAAAAGTGCAAGTAGATAATGACCGCTCCCCACTTAAAACGGGGGGCGCCCTTTGCGCGGGCGCGTGCAGCCCCTAGATCTGGAGCGCCCCAACAGCATAGGCTTGGCTTTGCCTTCCCTCAGGTGGGATACCTGGAGGTCTCCGCCTACCTCAGTCAGTTGTCCAATCCCACCTGGGGGAAGCGTTGCCAAGGAGACCAGGCCAGGTAGGGGAGGGATTACCTGCCCACACAATAGAGGGAGGATCTTACCTAGGAATCCTCACTTGGCTCCAGAGCTTCTTGAGGAACGTCGCTGGACTTCCTCGCTCCTAAAGGTAAGCTTGGGGCCTTTGGCCTCCCCCCCCCCGCGACAGGGTTCCCAAAGGATAGTGGGGGGTAATGGTTTTCAGGATCCCCTTTTAAAAGGGGATCCTTTTTTCCCTAGGCGAGCCCTGATGCCCCAGGGTTTTGGGTGATGGCACGGGGGCCCCTCTGGCCACCCCCCCATGCCTTTGGGGGCGTGTGGGCCGCGGGGGGGGAGGGCAACGCCACACGCGCCCCTTCTCTTCCCCCGCCAGGCCTGGCGGCCCTGGGGTGTGGTGGGTGGTGGCGGGGGGGTCCCTGGTCATCCCCGGGGCCTCAGAGGCCTCCGGGTGACCTGTCTGGGCCGCGGGGAGGCCTGTGGTGTTTTGGGGAGGCCTTACTGGGCCTCGGGGGGGCTCCGCCGCGTTCCGCGGCCTAATCGGGCCTCCGGCGGCCCCGGAGCCTCCCCTGGGTGGCGGGGGCCTTCCTGCCGCCCCCGCGATCGCCGGGGGGGCTGCGGGCTGCGCCATGCGGCCTCCCCAGGCTTCGTAGGCCCAGCCGGGCCTCAGGGAGGCCTGGCTGGGCCTCGGGAGGCTCCGCGGCCTAGTCGGGCCTCCGGCGGCCCTGGAGCCTCCTCTGGGTGGCGGGGGCCTTCCTGCCGCCCCCGCGATTGTCGGGGGGGCCGCGGGCCGCGCCATGCGGCCTCCCCGGGCTTCGTGGGCCTAGCTGGGCCTCAGGGAGGCCTGGCTGGGCCTCGGGAGGCTCCGCGGCCTAGTCGGGCCTCCGGCGGCCCTGGAGCCTCCTCTGGGTGGCGGGGGCCTTCCTGCCGCCCCCACGGTCGTCGGGGGGGCCGCGGGCCGCGCCATGCGGCCTCCCCTGGCTTCTTAGGCCTAGCCGGGCCTCGGGGAGGCCTGGCTGGGGCCTCGGGAGGCTCCGCGGCCTAGTCGGGCCTCCGGCGGCCCTGGAGCCTCCCCTGGGTGGCGGGGGCCTTCCTGCCGCCCCCACGTTTCGTGGGGGGGGAGGGCCACGCCACGCTGCCTCCCCCAGCTTTGGCCGGCCTTCTAAGGCCGCAGGGAGGCGCTGCCGCCTCGCACGTCCTAAGCCAGGCCTCTGGCGACCCTGGACCCTTCCCTGGGTGGTGGTGGGGGACCCCTACAGCCGGCGGGCATGCTCGGCCCCCCCCTGAACTGTGTGGCGGGGGGGTGCCGCATCACGGGGCCCTGCCAAGCTGCTGCAGGACTGGTCCCTGTTGGGGGCGTGCAGGGCCCCTTGGTGGTGGCTCCATGTCTGCAGCCATTTCAATGGCAACCGCATGGCGGCAGCCATTGCGCCGGTGGCCACATGGCGGTGGCCACCCTGGATCTGGCTGCATGGGCGGTCATGCCTCAGTGGTCCTCAGGCACACCTATGGCCTCATTAGGTACGTATTGGTTTTACATCTCACCATCATGGCTTGCCAGCAGGTGCAGCGGACAGCAGGCATCGCGCTCATTATCGACGAGGGGAGACTGCCCATGGACCTCATCTGAAATCTGTGCAGTGATTTTCTAAACTATTGCTTGTTTTATTTTGCAGCCCTCAGTAGCGATTCCTGCTGCGACTCAGTTCTTGCCTTATCTCCTCCCCTCCCATTATTCGTACCCTTACCTTTATCACTAGTGTGTGTTTGCAAATTGATAGCGGGCATTTCCTACCAATCACTGCCCCCCCCCCTGTTTTACGGATTCCCTAGCATACCCTACTCTATTAGCCCCACACCATGCCGCCAAAGCGTCAGGCTGCTTCTCCTCCCCGCACCAGAAGGGGCACTGTAAGGGGTGCGCCCACCAAGCCTGCCCAAGGTCAGGCCTCTGGACAGCGGAAGGTGCGTGCGCCCAGGGAGGAGCAGCCCAAGCCCAAGAAGACCGCGCCCAAGAGGGCAGCGGCACCTAGAGGGTCTTCTGGGTACATAAGCCCACTAGCCTTGCCAAGCCGCACCGGCAAGGGGTCGGCGGTCAAGCCGAGATGTACAGAGAGCTCCTCCTCTACCCGCTCCTCCCTTAGTAGCAGTCCCTCGCACTCGGCGCGCGGAGACAGTAGGGATAGGACCATTGCCCGGCTGAGGCGCCGCCTGGAGCGGCGGGATTCACGCAGAGGGAGCTCCGGGTCACCTCACGGCCGCAGGCGAGGGCGCAGTAGCAGCTCCTCTGACCACCGTGCTCAGGAGGGTGGGTCACGTTCATCATCCGCATCCACCAGGCGTAGGGGTAGGTCCCCCCGTTCCAGCTCCTCTGACAGGTACAAGAGTGACGAGAGCCCTGAGTCACGCAGATCGCGTCATCGCGGGAGGAAACCCCACAAATCCAGGAGGAGGGGCCACAAGTCCAAGAGGGACTCATCTGGATCACCTAGTTCCTCCGATAGGTACAAGAGTGACAAGAGCTCTGAGTCGCGCAGATCGCGTCATCGCGGGAGGAAACACCACAAATCCAGGAGGAGGGGCTACAAGTCCAAGAGGGACTCATCTGGATCACCTAGTTCCTCAGGTAGGTCCAGCTCCACTGATAGTGAACAGGGGGAGAACATCAATGGCTATTGGGTTACAGGCCCCGACGCCCCAGGGCTGCCACACTGGGTCTGGCGGCGCCGCAACCGGAGGCACAGGCGTGAACATGGTGCTATCGCGCCGTGCGGGGAGGAGGGCATTGACTCCAGAGGTAGAGTTAGGAAATCCAACCACAAAAGAACCGACCAGCCCCCAGGCATTCGCTTGCGTGAGAAGTTTCGGGAACGCATCCTTAATGGGGAGTTCGTGGATTTGTTTGATCTGCTATCCCCTGCCGCTTCAACAGCCCTAAAAATCTAAATCCGCCGAGCAGAGGAAAAAAGATAAAAAAGTGAGTGTTGAGCGTACCTTTCGTAATTGGCTCACCGCATACACCACTTACATGGGTATTATAGTCGCTAGTTACCCTGACAGGGGTTGGCACTTGTCCAACTACCTACTCATCATCCTAAAGGCTGAAGCCATGTCTGGGGGGGAGGCGGCACTCGCCTATGACCAGGCATTCAGGGAACGGGCGGCAGAGGACGACACAGTTAGATGGGATATCAAAGATGATGACGTGTGGTCTGAGTTGGTTGCCCCGTTCTTCAAGAAAGGGCCTGACAATGTCAAACAGTCCAAATATCAATCCAAGGCCCCCAAGAGATCTTGCTGGGAGTATAACAACGGCTCCTGCCTCAGAGAAAAATGTCGCTTTGCTCATGAATGCGAGCGCTGTGGTGGATCTCACCCCACCATGAAATGTTTTCGGGGGAAGAAGCTTTTTCGAGGCCCCCGCGGATCAGGCGCAGGCACATCTCAAGACAAAAGAGAGGCCGGAGCCTCTACAGGCCCCTCTGGCGCTCAGCAAAGCAAAAACAATGCCCGCAAATAGTGCTCTCCTTTCCCTAGCCCCCTCACCCATATCTCTATCAGCAATGCTGCCATTGTTACACCAGTACCCCAATAAAGAGGCAGCAAAATACATTGAGGAGGGTTTTAAGGAAGGTTTCCGCATCCCAGTGGTAGGCACCCCCTCGTGCACCAATCCTCCCAACCAAAAGTCTGTCCGAGATATGCCACACATTGCCGAGAAGAAGATCACCAAAGAATGCTTGCTGGGGCGAGTGGCAGGTCCCTTCACAGAACCTCCATTTCCTAACCTCATAGTGTCCCCACTGGGTATTGTCCCTAAGAAGGCACCAGGCGAGTTTCGATTAATACATAACCTTTCTTACCCAAAGGGTGGGTCAGTAAATGATGCCATTCCCGAAGAACAATGCTCAGTCAAATATGCATCTCTTGATCAGGCAATCAGGCTGGTTAGGGAGTGTGGCCCGGGCGCACTCATGGCAAAATGTGACATTGAATCAGCCTTCCGTCTGTTACCAGTCCACCCCAGGGACTTCTGGTTGCTAGGTTTCAAATTCCAGGACCAATGGTACTTTGACAAAGCTATGCCCATGGGCTGTTCCATCGCATGCGCTGCATTTGAAACCTTCAGCACATTCGTGGAATGGGCCATGAAACGCAGGTCGGGGTCCCACTGCATTTCCCATTACCTGGATGACTACTTTTTCGTGCAGCCAGCGGGCTCAGACGCATGCGCTAGGGTGCTGGCATGCTTCATTCAGCTGGCGGCTGAACTAGGCATTCCACTGGCAGCAGACAAGACCGAAGGTCCAACCACTATCATCTCATATCTGGGTATTGAACTGGATTCTGTCAGTCAAACCTCTCGCCTGCCCCCGGCCAAACTCGCCACGCTGCGGGAATTGATAACTACCATGATGGCCCAGAAGAAGACCACATTGCGTCAGGTCCAGACACTCCTAGGACACCTCAATTTTGCATGCAGGGTTATCTCGCCCGGTCGCGCCTTTTGCGCACGCCTAGCCCGCCTCACGGCTGGCGGTGGTGCCCCCCATCACCACATCAGGGTCACACACACCATAAGGGAGGACCTCAAAATATGGCTGACCTTCCTGGAAAGTTACAATGGGGTGTCCTTTTGGCAAGATTGGCTGCTGCCTAAGGAACAGCTACAGGTGCACTCTGATGCCTCTGGTCGCTTTGGCTTTGGTGTCTACTTCAGGGGTCACTGGTGTGCGCAGCCGTGGCCGACAGCTTGGCACGCGGAGGGCATTACACGCGATTTAACTTTTCTTGAGTTCTTCCCAATCCTAGTGGCTCTCCGGGTTTGGGGGCACCTCCTCAAGGACACCAGGGTGTGCTTCTGGTCGGACAACCAGGCGGTGGTAAGAATCATCGCGAAGCAATCTGCAAAATCCAACAGGGTAATTCGCGTGCTCCGCCTCTTCGTGCTGGAATGTCTGAAAGGTAACATCTCCTTTTCCGCGCGGTTCATCCCCGGCCTCAATAACGACATTGCAGATGCCCTGTCTCGCTTTCAGATGGAGCGTTTTCGCGACCTAGCACCCGAGGCCGATCAACTCCCAGAAGCCTTTCCGGAGGACCTCTGGGAACTTGGACGAGAGAAGTGACAGCAGGAGTACTGAGCGCCCTTGCACCATCAACATTGCAGTCCTACACCAGAGCATGGTCCCAATTCGAGGGGTTCAGAGATAAGTTTGGTTTACGACGCAGACGTGCTGCTAAGGAGCATGATGTTCTAAAATATTTGGTTCACCTAAAGCGTAGAGGCATGGCCCTTAAGACCATCAGCCTGCACAAGGCCGCTATCTCATACTTCAGCAACTGTTTTTGGTTCCCAGACCCCTGTAACACTTTCCACGTAAGGAAGCTTATTGCAGGGTGGCGTCGCTCCCACCCGCCCATTCCAGATAAGAGGAGGCCAGTAACCATTGAGATCCTCCAGACGATATGGGATGCGCTCCCCAGCATTTGCTGGTCCAACTATGAGGTTAGGCTCTTCAGGGCGGCCTTCTCCCTGGCCTTCTTTGGTGCGCTCCGTATCGGAGAGTGCGTTGGCACACTGTCACCTCATCGTAGGGGCTTGTCTGTGGCTGATATCAACCTTGACAAGCGCATGATACAGGTCAAAATCCGAACCTCCAAAACCGATCAACTGGGCAGGGGTTCCACGCTAAGTCTAGCCTCCTCCCCACACACTGGACCATGCCCTGTCGCGGACACACGAAAATTCCTGAAGGTACGCCCTCCGGGACCAGGCCCCCTCCTCATTCATGCATCAGGCCGCCCCATGACCCGTTGCCAATTTGTCTCAATATTGCGTAAGGCCATACATGCCTGTGGAGGCGACCCGGCACAATTTTCCGGGCATTCTTTTCGCATTGGTGCAGCAACCACGGCAGCTGCGAGCGGCCTCCCGGCCGAACACATAAAAACAATGGGGCGCTGGCGTTCAGCTGCCTTCAAAGGCTACATTAGACACAACCAGCAGGCACTGACAGGTACCATATAATCCTTTCTTTCAGACTCAACCCCCAAACATGTGTGGATCTTCGGCCACAGCATAGTGCATTGGGCGGCCATCCACGCCACTGCTGGTCCAGGCGGCGAACATCTGGGTCTGCAGCCAAAGATCTCCATTACCTGGTTCGGACAACGTGGAATGCGGTGGGATGCCCTGCTCCCTCGGTTGCGTCACGAACTTGCGTTCCGCCACCCGCCAAGCGCGGTTGTGCTCCACCTCGGCGAAAATGACTTGGTCGTGCAAAAAAGCATAATTCTGATCAAAACAGCGATCGCAGACCTGGAAAGCGTACACGCCACTCACCCCAGTATCACGATTTTCTGGTCCGAACTTTTACCACGCTTGCATTGGCGTGGCAACATCAAACCCACTAGACTCAATTACACTGTGGAAAAAATCAATAGGGCAGTGCGCTCTGCAACCACTCGCATGGGAGGTCGGGTCGTGAAACACCCCAACATTAAAGTTTACATGCAGGAGCTATTTCGGCCGGATGGCGTGCACCTATCGGACCTTGGCAATGAGCGTTGGCTAAGCGACATCAGGCATGGCCTGATGGACTGGTTGGAGGATGGCAAAGGCGTTTTTCAGATGTAGGTAGTCTTGGCGGCGAGACCGCAATCTTTGCGGTCTCGGGTGGCGGTATCAGGCCTTGGGCGGAATCCTTTTGTCCATCTTCCTCTTGCGGCGGCGATACCAGGGTTCCCCGTTAAAGGGGTTTTCTGAAGGGAGGCTTTGGCCGTACACCGAAAGGTCGTCATTGCTCTCTCCTGCGGCGGCGGCGTTACGGGGGCGGCCATCTCTGCTTGAACATATGTTCTCCAGAGCCGGCCCATCCCCCACACACACACTGGATAACCCTGATGCTCCCTAGGTCCCCGGCTGGGGACCAGGGAGGGAGAACGCCCAATGCCTGAGCCAAGGTCTACCCACATTTGAAATTTAATAAAGTTGTGGCCAATTTAATCCCATAGCACGTTGTCTTGAGTCGTTATTCCACATGACAGGGGGGCCGTGCAGGATCTGGGGACTCCGCCTGTCCGCGCAAATAGGTACCACTCCAACAGGAAGGTAAACAGTGTTTCCGTGCGCTGCTCTAGTTTTGGTGTTCCGTTGCGCCAGAAGCAGCTTAGTCATGCTGGCCATATGACCTGGAAAAACTGTCTGCGGACAAACGCCGGCTCCCTCGGCCTGTAAAGTGAGATGAGCACTGCAACCTCAGCGTCGTCTGCAACTGGACTTAACTTTCAGGGGTCCTTTACATTTACCTTTTTTTTTTTTTTACTCAAATTGATTAATTTTTTGTTGTATATATTTCAACAATCCCAAACTCCCCAGAGTGTGTTGAGGTCTGTGCATGTTCTACCAATTCTGTAAATAAGTTAGACATTTGATAGAAGAGCTCAAAGGAACTTAAATGTATGTGAAATGTCATTGTTCTTTTTTAAAACATGTGTAAGACATTCAAAAGCCCTTCAAAATATAACCCAATTCTCTTTCTTGGAGCTTCCTGAATACCCTTGATACTTAGCCTCATCTGTTTCTAAATGAAAACAATCCAGGAATAAATATGATTAAGATAAGTAGAACAGCAGGAATGCAATTAGGTCAAGTACCAAGGGACCCTATATTTCAGGCCTTTATATATTTATTCTCCAGTCCCTCTCTTTTTCATTAACCTCCTACCAATGCAGCATTGTGCAGCTCATTCAGGCAGCACATCTCTTGACCCTTGTGTTAAGGGACAATTTGTTGCCGCTCTCTGTTCAATTCAAGTTGTGGGTATAAAACTGTAGGCAGCAGGTAATACTATTTGATCGGATCAGCAGTGGTTTACACTTGGGTGGTGGTGGTAGAAGGTTGCTGGGCTGGCTTAGAGCTATGTGAATTAAAGACAGCATGAACTTTTCAAGTTGCTACTGTTGCTGGACTTTAGCGGGGAAATATTAGGAGTTGTGCTACAGAGTTTTGGGGAGTCAGAAATGTTAGATGAGTCCTCCTCCACCCTTTTCTTTTCCTGTAACATTCCAGCTTGGCTGAGCATCGTAGGGCAATTAATGCCTTTTGTCGCTTTTTGCACTTGGAAGCCTGCAAATTCACTTTGTATCATGATGAATGCTGTAATTAGCTCCATGTCTCTGAGATTTGACGAGGCAGGCAAAGGTGTCATTCAGCTGAGGGATTGTTGCTCCTGCATTAAAAACACACAGGCACACACACACACACACACACACACACACACGAGACAAAAATTAAAAACCAGATCAACTGGGCATTCATTCACACAGCTTTTTGAGGCAGCAGTCCACTTTTAATAATTACACTGACATAACCAAACCACCATTATAGGGGGTCACTAAGAAGGCTGGTGTAAAGAAACTAATAGAGGGAATAGAGACAGGGAGGGGGGAACTCTTTAATGACCATTTGAATCAGATTTGTTTAACAAATCTCATTTCAGATTAAGTAATTACTTGTTTCTCAGCTTGTAGTTTTCAACTACACCAGTGACTAAGAGTCTTTCTTCTGGCTTCATTAAAACCATAAGTCTGCCAAATTAGCAATTACAATGCCATTTAGCTGGAAATATCTTGCATTTAAAGTGACATTTCCTTTTATGAGGTCTTCTGCACAATGATGCCTATTTTACAAAAAAAGGAAACAAAACTGCCAACATTGTAGCATGGTGGCCTGCATTTAAATGGCTCACTCCATAGAAAAGAAAGGAATTCTCATCAAATCACAGTATGCTTCATTTCATACAGTAAGGTCTCCTAGCACTAATCGCCTCCTCCACCCCACTGCCTCTGTCTAAAATTTGGCACAATTCTTCTCCTCAGCATCAGGTACCATGCCTGCAGATTTTATCCCATTCTGCACATTCTGCAAAAATATATATTTTAAGTAATAAAAGCAATTCTTGTTTTTAAAAACTTCAAAAATGTAAAGGCTATTTTTATACATCTCTGCACATTTATCACTGCTGCACCTATTTGTCTGAAATTTGGCAGGCTTCATCCATAGGTTACACCTGCAAATTCTGTCCAATTCTAACACAAAGCAAAAGAAAACCACAGCCATTTGTTGATATCTTGTTTATAGTCATACCTGGTATTGCTTGGGCATTCAAAGAATCCAAAATATCTGTGCAGCTGTGCAATGTTCTACCAATTTTGATTCAAAATGGCATCCAACTGTAGCCAAATGTAGACAAAAACCCATTCCTTGATCTCAGGAACCGTCATCCAGAATTTGGTTACAATATCTCAAGAAGTGTCCATATGCACAGCAAACAATATTCTGAAATATATAGTAGATGGGGAGACCCAAAGTTTCAGATTTTCTGATGCAAGATTCTGATTTGGTCCTGAAATGAAGCAGGTGTCCTCCAAAATGGTCCCAGTTTAACTGACATTCCAAACCTCCAAACCAAACCAAATCTGGCATTACACGGAAATCTCTAGTAACATGGCAAACCATTCCCAATAAAACCAAGTAGAAATTCTCATGGGGACCAAACTGGGGCATTCAACCTTTTTGAGACAAGATACAAATTGATGTATCTGCACCTCCTGGGTTAATTTGTGGATTGGAACTACTGGTGCAATCCTAACTCTAGCCACTGCTTTTGTTGTTGTTGTTTAGTCATTTAGTCATGTCCGACTCTTCATGACCCCATGGACCAGAGCACACCAGGCACCCCTGTCTTCCACTGCCTCCCACAGTTTAGTCAAACTCATGTTGGTAGCTTCAAGAACAGTCTCCAACCATCTTGTCCTCTGTTGCCCCCTTCTCCTTGTGCCCTCAATCTTTCCCAACATCCGGGTCTTAACAGAGTGGCCAAGCCACCATCATATCTGTGGCCATACCACAGATGCTGGAAGGATATGAAGGTGAGGGGCAGGCAAATAGCTGTGCCAGCCTGGAGCTTTTGCAGTGATTAGGCTGGGATCAGGTCAGATCCCACCACATGATGACAGTGGGGCTGGCTCAGGATTCAGTAGCCCCTCCCTTGTTATTTTAACCAATACATTCAATTCCAAAATTCGATCAATTCCACAATTCCAAAATATTCTGATATGGACATATCTTGATAGAAAATGTGTTTAGAAAGGTGCCTTATGAGAGAAAATACTTCAAATGAATTTTTAAAATGTATTTAAAGTTTGTTAAATGCCAATATTCTTGTGCAGTAAAATTATTGAAGAAACGGGTGGAAGGGACTTATAAATATGTGAAAACGACATGAACCTGTCCAGACTGATAGCTTTGTTAAATGCTATCACTTTTTTAAAAAAAATGTGCTAATATGTCAGTTAATTTATAAATGTTGTAGTCACAACAGAAAAAAGAAGCTCTTACTGCCTTTTAAAAATTTCAGTTCTATTTACAGCAGCTACTTACCAGCTACCATTATCTTGTCAATCTGAAGACATATGTGATGTATTCAATGCCATACCAACAGTCCCACTCAACTTCTTCCGCAATAGATTTTCCAGTCAATGAACAGCCTAAGTGAAAACAGGCCCTGGAACTTTGCTTAGTGAGTAAAGTTTTGCAAGGTAAAGGTTGGGGTTGGGGGAGGGTACATGATATTACAAATATATCTGGAGTATCATGCACATTTCAAGAAAATCATTTAAGACTCAAATTCACAATAAACCGTGTTGTTCATTATCAGATCATTGCTCCCAGAAGATATCTGGTGGGTGGGTCGGTGGGATTTGTGGAAGTACTTGAGCACAAATATTGCTTTTTCTGACTTCAAGATGAACTAGTGCGGGGAAGGCAGTGCTTGGAAAGTTCATTTAAAAAAGGAAATGGATCTGGTTTAAGTTCATTCTGTCTAAAAAGGAACTAGTTTCAGTTTGTTCTTCTATCAAGCAAACTAGTTCAACTCAAATTCTCCAATGAACCTTTTAGTTAATACACAGTTCATCTTCAGCGTTTTTTTCCCTAGCATTCAGAATGTTGCAAGCTGCTATTCATAGTGTTCAAAAGTAAATCAGTGGCCAAACATAATTAATAAGAGGTCTGATAGACAAAAAGTCATCAGGTGAAATTTCCCCCATGATTGTATTTCCATACCAGAAAAGGCTTGCCCACTGGGCATTGCAAGCTGGTGAGATTAAGAGGGAAAATTCGAAACCAGCAGAACCAGACTTTCCTAAAGCACTGGAAGAAATTTATGCTGTATCTAAAAGACAATTGTAATTACTTAACATCGCTTGTAGGGTTAAAAGAAGTTTTGTAAGAAGGACTTCATAAATTATTGTGAAATGGATTAAGATTAGTTGATGCAGGGCTGGATTTATAGCAATAAGCGTAGTAATAAAACGCAAAATTAGAAAGAAATTTGGAAAACCATTAGAAGGGGTTGAAGGAAGTCTTAGGCTGTGATAGCCAAATATTTGTTATGTTGTTTTGGAGTTGTTAAGTTGGAAAATTTGTGCAAAAATTAAAAAATAAAATAAAAAAATCAGTGCCTACAAAAAGAAAGAAAGAAAAGGCTTGCCCTGTTTAATTTGTTCCAACCATACAACTGTTGAAGGCACAAGGCATCATTCAACTTGTTCCTGTACCTGTACTTCTCATTGCACGCCGTTCCTGTCACATTCCTTCCTTCAGATTACTTAGCCTACAGTGAATGAGTGACTAAATCTAAATGTCCTTAGCAGCCTCCATATCTACTTAATAAAACTTAGAATACTGCTTTCACATTTTGCT